AGTCTCACAAACCATAAAAAAAAAAAGAAATACACATCAGAGCTTCTTTTTTTTGTGAGTGAAGACCCTCCTAAATGGCTGAATGTGAAATGATTTTGTTTCAGAATTGTGAAAAATGGAAGTCAGTGGTACAGAGAGCGATACAGACCAAGAAGAAGAGGAGAAAACTGAAGAAGCTCAAGAAGACCCCATTTATGCCATTGCACCCACAACTAACTTTCGAGATGAGCGGTTTGTTGATTTATCTACAAGTCCAGCTTTTGTTTCTCTGCACGAGGTAATTTCTTTTTGTATATTATTACAATAAGACATGATTGTCTACTTAAAAATTTAGATGATGCTAATATCACATCACAATAATTTATACATAGGGAGCTTTGGTGCCCTAGTGGTAAGAATCTGCACTGCAATCCTAAGACACTCAGTTCGAATCCACCAGCTGCTCTATGGGAGAAGAATGGGCAATCTCCTCCGGTGTGATTACTTCCTTTGAAAACCCATTGCAGGGTTAGCTGTGGGTCAGTTCTGACTTGATAGTACCCAACAACAACGTATATTTTGTAGGCTTTTGAACCTCTTTACAATAAAATTATTGCTACCCTCTCTTCAAAGAGCTTATTCTTTAATCTTGGTCTTATATAGAATTGTTTCTGATACTGTTATTATACTTAAATATTTGCATTATGCATCCTGCATAGGTTTTTTTATTATTAATTTTAATGAAAGTTTACAGAGACTTTGGATTTTCATTCATTCATTGTTGCACTTTTTCTCCCTGCCCACCCTTCCCTCCCCCCTAGTTTGCTCTTCTCTTTGAAAAGTAAAAGAAAAATTCTTTCATTGTTATACAATCCCTCCACCCAAGTCCACTCCACTATGCAGCATTCGTTCTGGACTCCTGTCACGACAATAATACCTAATCATATATCCCTTTTAAACAGTTCTTTCCCTCATCTGTTTTAGTGCAGTATACATAATTTATCCCCTCTTTTCTCAGTCTCCCACAACCCTGATGTCAGTCCTTTTTTTACAACAGTAGTACTATGCAGTATTTGTCCTTTTGTGACTGAGATATTTCACTCAACATCATGTGCTCCAGGGTCACCCTTTTGTATAATATTGCATGAGTTCCTTATTTTTCAATGCACATAGTACTACATTGTGTGAATATACCACAGCTTCTCTTGGATAGGGTTTTTTATGGTTCAGTAAATGAAATGAAAAAGAGTTGTTTCCTCATATAATGTGTCTATTTGCATAAAATTTCAAATGTTTTTACCACTGAAGATATGTGCAATGTAGTGAGAAGTGATTTTTCTATTTCCTATGAAACTATGAACTTGGAAAAATGAAAGTTATACAAGTGTTCAGGTCTTTCATTCATAGGGTTGCTATGAGTTGTCAATGACTCGATGGCACTTAATAACAACAACAACAATCGTAAATAACATGCCTCCAGAGGCTCTATGAACTTTGATAAATGTCGATAGTTGCAGAGGGGCTTTAGCCCTTTTGTTCGTAGGGTCTCTATGAGTCATGCTTGACTCAAAGGCAATCAACAATAACAACGTTATTGGAGAAGGAAAAAGAGGAATATGATTAGCTATGTGTTCTCAGTGTCTGGTTTTTAAAAATCATGAAGAACATTCAGATCATGCCTATGTATTTAGTAAATAGTAGCTGACCTCCTGTACAGTCATTTCCCTGCCACACTTCAGAGCTCTACCACAGCATACCCTTGCTCTATATTTTCAAGTGCCCAGGAGTCACTATTTCTGCCAAAAGTCCATCATAGGTCTAACTTTATAATAAAATTTAACTGCTATACCACTCTCCTTAATAATTTCCAATCAAATAAAAATATCCTAGTGTTTAATATTTTTCTTACAAGTTTATACTTATATTTGTTTTTAAGACAAAGATGACTTTATAATGTAGAGCTTAGAACAATTCCTAGTATTCTTTGATTTTCAATGTAACAATCTATTGAATCTTTCATATGTGTAAAATTATGGTTATTAATCAATGGGCTTGGCTAGATTCTGATAAAGTGGATATGCATGGTCCTTCCATAGCTTCAAATTACTGTCTTAGCTTTTCGGCGTCATTAATTTCATTATCAGTGTCAACCTTGAAAATCTTACTGCATGAGAACTGTTCCTCTAATGTATAGTCTAGCAGAATATAGCATTGACTTAGATAAATTTACTGAACTCTTCAATTTTCTTAACAGTCTACTAAGATAATATTACTAATAGGTAATTATAACTGTATTTTCAAATTCTTTTTATAAATTTTATATTGGTTTGCATACAAAATGTATATACATTGTGTTTCATTCATATATATTGTATTTCACATAGTCCTTCATGTTGTGTTTCATATGATCATTCCTATACATTCCATTTTATAAAATTAATCACCCTTGATTTATGCCTCCTATTACTCCATCATTTCAAGTCATCAGTGGATCTTTCCTAATTCCTTCACCTCCTCCTGCCCACAAAATTCTGCTATACTGTAATTTTCCTCCTCCTCCTCCCCACTCCCAGCCTCTCCTGCCCACTCTCCTTCCCCTTTTGGACTTTTATATTCATCTTACTAGTTATCCTTCTATTTTTACAATAATCGTCTTATGCAGTATTTGTCCTTATGAGACTGAGTTAGTTCACTCAACATAATGTTGTCCAGCCTCTCCCATATTATATGGTATTTTTCTAAATCATTGCTCCTGAGTGCTGCATAGTATTCTATTGTATGAATGTACCACACTTCACATTTCTCAATCCCTTTGTTTATGGTTTGCTAAGCTTTTTGAATGTGGATTTCCTTGTTCTTAATAATACTTGGGAAGTTTTCTTCTAGTACCTCTTCCACAATTTTCTCAGTAGTTTCTCTGCATCCCTCATGTTCTGGAATTCCAGTCATAGGAATGGGTGTTATCACATGATTCTAATGTTTTCTTCATTTTCCTTCCATCTTCTCTTTGAGTATTTTTTTCTTCTAGTATTTTCTCATTAAGGTTCTTGTCCTCCAGCTCACTGATTCTCTGTTCAATCTCTTCTGTTCTGCTTTTTAATCTCTCTAGCATGTTGGTTGGAAGGAGGTGTGGCATCCACTTCCATAATAGTTTGCCTCTGGAAACCCTGTGAATCTGGAGAGAGGAAGAAAGGCACCCAAGCATTGAGGACTCTCCTTCATAGGGTAGCTGTGAGTCACCTGCGACTCAACGGCACTTATCAACAACAACAACAGCATGTTGGAAATTTCTGCCATTTTGGTCTTGATATTCAGATTGCATTCTCATGTATTTCTGTTATTTGCAGTACTAAGTTGGCTCTACCCTCTCTGTCTTGTCTTTTTTGTGTTCTTTTTTTATTTCTTTTATGTTCTTTATATTTTCAATACTTTCTTCCATCTTTTACAGTTTCTTCTGTAGCTGTTCATGTTCATCTGTGTCACTATATCTCTTCTGGCTCCCTGTCTCTGGAGTATTCACTCTATTTATGGCTTTCATTCTTTCTGACATAGCTCTTCATATAGCCCCACATCAGTATATTTCTTCTTGCTCCCTGTCTTGGAATATTTTGCTTTATTTTTCACTTCCATTCTTTCTCCCATTGTTTGTACCTTCTTCTATAGCTTTTCATATGACTGCATCTCAATACATTTTTTCTGCCTCTTTGTCTATGGAATAGTCACTGGGTCTGCAGTATGCTCTGCTTTTTACGGAGAAGGATTCTTTTGGGATTTCCACCCTCTGCAAGCTTTGAATCTGCCTGCTACTTTCTTGACATTATGTGAAGTTTTTCTTGGTATATGTTATGACATTTCTATTGTGTCTGCATATGTTGTTGATAGTTCTTTATTTTTATGATGCTATTGACTAGTTGTAGGCTTAAAATGTTCCATCTATGAAAGTGGGCAACTTACTCTACCGGAAGTTCTTTGAGGGCCTTTAAAATGGGAAAGCTTGCCTATCCTAAAGTTGTTCAGGTCCTCCCTAGTCTACAGTGCAACCCCACATGAATCTCGCCTTATTACAGCTCCCTATCCTAAAATCTGTTTTCCTCTTTGGTTTGTGGAGTGGCCTTGAGGTGACCAGGTTCCCTATCTGAAGTAGTGTCTCTCCAGGAGAGTTGCAAGCCCTTCCCTCCCCAATGTACTGTCTCTGGAAGTGAGCCTCTCACCTGATAACATCCTCCTCCCTTGAAGTCTGTGGATCACTTTTGTCCATAGAGTGGCTTGGCCGTGTTCCCCAACTTAAGCAGTTTTTGCCCAGGGTGGTTGTAGTCAGTTCCCTCCCTAGAACTCCAGTGTGCTAGCTGTGGGAGTGAGTCTCTCACCTGATTGCAAGCCCCTCTTCTGAAGTCTAATGACTTCTTTTGTCTGTAGAGTTGTTTGACCCACGTTCCCCAACTTAAGTAGATTCTGTTCAGGGGTATTGTAGGCAGGTTCCTCCCTAGCAATTCAATGAGCTAGCTGTGAGAGTGAGTTTCTGCCCTGACTACAGCCCCCTCTCTTAAATGCTACTGTCCTCTTTGGTCTGTAGAGTGGCCCCACACGGGCACAGGTTTCCCAGCTGAAGCAGTTTTTCTCCAGGAGAGTGGCAGTCTTTCCCTCTTTCCCAAGTACCTCAATATATTGGCTCTGAAATGTCATCTGATTAGAGCCCCCTCTCCTGAAGTCTGTTGTCTTTCTTTGTCTCCAGATTCTTTTAATATCTCATCAGGCTTTATGAGTTTTTTTAAGCTTCATTTAAAGTTGTTGAGTATACAGCAGCTGTAGCTACAGGACACTAAGAGTTCAAATGGAAACTGAAAGAAAGTAATAGAAAATCTGCTTCTAGATATCCAGATGCTTGGCATCACATTGAAATAGCCAAAAGCTGTTTGTAGTGTTTATGTTCTCAGTATTAGTCTCACAACTGGCTCAGTAATACTGCTGAAAAAGACACATTACATGTCATCTCATATTGCCTATAAGATTAATTTGGCATGATATTCATAAACGTCTTCAATTTAGGCCCAAATTTCTATTGTAACCTAACCATTCACTTAGATTTTCATGCTTTTCTGTTCATGCTGTTCCCCTCAGCAGACTCTCTTCTACGAAGAGGTGATAAGCCCCTAAGGAAACTGGCCAGTATCCTAAATGCGTGATATAAAGTCATGGCTGTGCATAAATCTGCCCAGTAACAATGCCCCTTAGAGAGACTGTGCCATTCAAACATCATCCATCCATCTGTCTCTGTCTATCTATCTATCTAGATCTATA